AAATAGCTACTCTATGACATCTAATTTGACAAAATAAAAGTTAGATTAAAGCAAAGCTAAATGAGGAAATTTAATGTTTTTTTAAAAACCACAAAAACATAAATTAAATGATTAAAATGTTTTTTAAAAATAAAACAAATTGTTTTTAAAAACATACTGAATGCTTTTATTTTTTATTAAAGATAAAAACATTCTTAACATTTTTACTTTTATTTTTTTACTATAACACATGCGCGAAGTGCTGCTACATCAACTATCTTATAGTCTGCTACTAAAAGTGAGTGCTGCTACATTGACATCTTATAGTCTGTTGTTATTTTTATGAACAAGAAATTTTTAAAAAAATTTGTCAAAAGCATTTAATTTATTATTTTAACATTTTGTTATAACATAGTTATTCTCAGTTTAAATTTATTAATAAAATTGATACAAAATAGTTAGTACAAAATAGAATAAAAAAATAGAATAATAATGACCATATAATTGATTAATCGTACAATAAAAAAACCATTAAAAACATGTAACAAATGTCATAAAAAGAAGAAATAAGTTGATAAACCCAAGGATGTTTTTGTTTGAATTTTTGTCTCTCCTAAATTTGCACATTTACAGGCATTATTTAAATGAAAAATGTTTTGACAAATTTGTTTAAAAACTCAATGAAAACAAAACAATGAACCAAGTAAAAATGATGCTTTCAATCTAGTTCCTTAAAACATCCCCATTTTTTTCATTGTCTTCTTTTATAAAAGTACAAAATATTGTATTACACTATGTAACTAATTTTCTCTTTTGTTTTTTTCCTGGGTTGAAAGTTTGTTTTCCTAATCCGTTAGATCTAGAACAGAAATTGCTGTTGTTCCAGAAAAATTTTGCTTCTGTGATCGGGACAATAAAATTGCATGTTTTTGAGAAAGTTCTCGATTTGCTTTCAATACCGAGCTTCCTCCTATAAGTTTGCTGAACTGCTAGAGTTGTTCAGATGTTTCTGCAATTCTCCTGGAATATTCAAGAAACACTTTGGAATATTCAAGAAACTTCCAGACCTTTTGAGAATTTCTCAGAACTTTCTAGAACATGTTTTCTAGAATGTTTCTGCAATTCTCCTAAACACTCTAGAATATTCAAGAAACTTTCAGACCTTTCGAGAATTTCTCAGAATTTTCTAGAAACATTCTTTCTTAGAATTTTCTAGAACATTCTTGAACATTCTAAAAGTAGCTGTACAAGTATAAAATCACAGTCTTGAAGATTCCAATTCGTGTTATTGCATTCTGAAAGGATATTGGTTCGTAGTTAAAGAGATGTTATTTATTTGATATGGCATCAAGAGGTGGTTTGCATCCAGCTGATTCATTCTGCTATGTGTGCAGACAATTTATAAATACAAGAGCAATAAAGTATTCTGTGGAAGCATGTTGTATAATGTACGAGGTCTACAAGGCATACTTCAGCTTGCCGGTCGGAGACCAAGACTATCTTGGGCACTGCATTTTACATGCAAATATTGCAAGAAAATACTTGAAGGTAAACTGAGAAGTTGCTTCTCGCTTAGATGTGTTTTAAATTATTTTTATAAAATTTCTATGCTTTAGATCTAGTTCTTTTCAAGGAGTTGTAATTTACAAAGTTTTTTCATAAGTTTTGTACTGTAGACAAATACATTCCATCTTGAAATCGTTCTATATTTTGAAATTTCCTGTCCTCTAATTTTTATATTATTATGTGCTATGTTACTGGTTGATACAGAGGAGAGAAGCGAGTTATGAAGTTTGCTATCTCGCAAATTTGACGAGAGTCAATGAACCAATCAAGTAACTGTTACTTCTGCATCGTAAACCCATGAAAATTGTTGCACCTGCAAAAATGCCCCTCAGATCATTTATCCGGACATACTTTCTTCCTTAGCCCCAGTACCACACAGCCTCGATCTGCCTGTTCCGACTTCTCTGGCATCTATCTCCATCTTCAGGAGATAGCAGCAATTCAGATAACAAGACGATACTGGAGATATGGACTAGGATTCCACAGATGAAGTTGAGGATAGAAAGTTGTACTTCCCTAACCAGAAAGAAATGTATGATTTAATTAGGGACCTCATGCTTACAAAATTGAATGCTGAGCTTCTGATATCCAGGTTCAAACAGCGGAACTTGGTTGATGATAGCGCAAAGTTATGGATCAGAGGAAGCGGCATCAAAGATTCTCCAACATCTTCAGCCAGCGTGATGGGGTGTGCATTCGCAACAATGTTGCCAGTCTATTCCAGGCTATAGGTATTTCATGTAATCCTAATGAATGGACAATTCATCCCAGAGCCTCAAAGTCGTGTTGCTTCACAATGGGAACAACTACTTGTCTCTCCCGATGGCCCACTCTGTGCATCTCAAAGAGGACTACACCAGTGTCAAAATGTTGCTGAGTTCATTGAAGTATGACTATGGAATGGAGGTCATCAGTGACTTTAAAATGGTATCATTCCTCATGGGTCTTCAAGAAAGTTCACAAAATTTCCTCTTTCTCTTGGACAGCCATGATACTAAGGCCCATTATCACAATGACCACAAATACCATCAAGGTCACAACAGGCCAAGTTTTCTGTTGGGAAGAGCAATGTGAAGTGGGAGCTGCTGATAGAACCTCATAAAATGCTTGTGACACTGTTGCACATCAAGTTAGGCCTCATTAAGCAATTAATCACTGCTCTTGACAAGAAGTCAACAGCATTTCAAAACATCCAAGATCTTTTTCCAAAGCTGTCCGAGGCTAAGATCAGGCTGGTATATTAGTTGGACCACAGATCAAGAAGATCATAGAATGTGGGGATTTTGCAAAGCTGTTGAACAGGACAAAGAAAGCGGCTTGGACCAGTTTCGTTGCAGTTGTTCAGGGCTTCCTAGGTAATCACAAAGCTGAAAACTATGTGGAGTTGGTGCAGATTATCATAAAAAATTATGTCAAAACGGGATGTTGAATGTTGAAACATGGATGCTTACTCCGAGTAGCAAGGCGAGTACTTTTATCTTGATATATTGGATTTGTTGTTGCCAAGACATTATAATGAAAACATGATGGGGAACTACATTTGGGGGCTCAATCTAGAAAATCTAAACATTTCTGAACCTTGTTGGGTGGTTTCTGTCTGTGTTTGTCTATTTCTTGTGCGATATTTGTTTTTACCTGGTTGTAATGATGATAATGAAATAAAATTGTTCTATTTTCACAAAAAAATGAGTTTTCTTTGTGCAGTTGTCATGTAAGCAAAGTTTGTGTTTAATGAAGTCATTTTCTTACATACTTTAGACAATTGTAATATAACACTTAGAAGCCAAGAACAAAGGTTGTGTTGCATAGTGTTATTAATCATTTAGTGGTCTTTAATGTTCTATTTTAATTATTTTTTATCAATTTTATTCATATATTTTAAGTAAAGACAATTATAACTGTGTTATAGTGGAGACATGTATTTTAAATTATAAATTAAATATTGTTAACAAATTTAAAAAAAGTTGTATTGCTCACAAAAATAGTTACACAATTTGTGCTAAAAGTTTTGAAAATATTATAAATAACATATAGCCTATTTTCTCATGTTTTTCAAATTTTTGTTTTTCTTTCATGGTAATAATTTGGTAGAAATTGGCCTACTTTTTCATGCAGCCTTTTCTTAAAAGTAAATAACAAAGATAAATCATGAAATTTCAAAAAAAAAAAAGATTAAAAATAATAAAATTAAAATACTATAAGAATTATAACAACCCTACAGTTTGATAAAGATTTAGTTTTGATTTAAATTTTTCCCAGCTGTGCTTTGGTGTTCCCAGCTGTGCTTTGGTGCTGAATCTCATTGATTTTGTATTGTCTTCCCATTAAATTAAAATTGTTGAAATATTAATTGTTAATTAATTGTATAAGTTTGTTAATAGAACCCAATTTACATGACCATGTCCTGAAGATTACATCATGATGATAATCCAATCCTCTGCTATTATAGTTACAATATAATGTAATAAGTTTTTTCAGTTTTTTGAGATATTTCCATTCCTTTAAATATAAACTGTCACATTTTTTTAGTAATTTGATATCTGTATCAAATGAGAAACATTAAACTTTTCCTTTTTTATTATATTAAAACAAGAGATCGGAACCAGTGTTTGTTGTTTAATTTTTCTTTTACCACTTTTAGATTCTACTACACAAAATAAATAATAATTTCAGATTGATTTTTTTGTATTGCAATTATGAAAAAAATTCTATTTTATTATACAGATCTGAGTTTTGCCAAAGTTCTTGATTATTAAATACTAGTTATTTATAACTATTCAAAAAGAAAGTTATGGGGTTTACGATGGAAACATTAACAAACATAATCATATTTACAGTTTCTATTAGGATTACTACATTAATGGAATTAAATACTTTAAAGTAATCATATATGATGAGAAGCTTTTTTTTCTGAAAATAAGTATATAAGACCATAAAAAACCAATAAAAATTTTTTTTTTAATACTACTGAGGAAGAAATAAAAAAGATATACTGAATTATTTTTGAATCAAATTGACTTTTAAATGACAGAATGCTGATCCTAAACTTTTCTTAGGTTAAAAACTGCAACATTCAAAATATTTTTATACTTAAAATAACTTTAAATTAAACTTCATAATATAATTATGAAGGTTAATTTAAAACATTCATAACATAACATGACAGTACTTTTAATAAAGTTTAAATTAACCTAAAAATTAGTTTTTTTTTTACAGTTTTTCGTTTCGTTATAGAGTAAGAGCCTGTGGTTACCAGGCCTACATTATTTTATAAAAGCCTGTGGTTACCAGGCCTACATTATTTTATAAAAGCTAAATATTTCTCCGTGTGTGTTTCCAAAACAAGTAGGAATGATGGTTAACTAAGTATTTTAGATCATGGTGGCTCTGGCTGATAAGAGGTACCAAAGGTATTTAAAATACCTACTAAATTACGTCAAATTTTTTTATAATTTTTTTTTGTAGTAGTATAAGAAATTATACATTGCCACGCACTTATCATTGCCACGCACTTATCATTGTGGCAACCCGTTTTATACAAGTCATAAGCTAGACATTTTCTAAAGATCTAACCCCTAGCCAGACAAGCATATATGTAGCAATATTGCTAGTTTTATAACCAAAAATGTTAGAATGAAAACCTTAGTTACATAATTTAACTGAAAATAATTGCGTCAAATAAAGTTTTGGTTTGCATTTTAATAACAGTTCGAATCTAACAAAAAAGTTGAAAAATTTTTCAAAATTAAAAAAACAAAAAAACAAATGCATTAAAGGGATCCTAAACTCCCAACACATGTTGTGTTCATATTAAAGATAATGTTAAAAAAAAAGGTTTGAACCAAGTTTTTTTGATTAAAATTAAATAATGAATGCATACCGAGAAAAACTAATGTTGTTATTTTAGCCGAAGCTCGCCTTCTCTATTTTATTTTGTGTCATATTTGGCATTTGTCTCTTAACATGAAAAATTAAAAATTTTTGAAAACACAATTGACAAATACAAATTTTCAAGCAATTTTCTCTACCAATTCTCATTTATTCAAAGAAAAATTACTATAAAACTTTTGTTTCTCTTATCTAAAAAAAGAATGAGTGACACAAAAAAAAAAAAAAAAAAATCTATACAACTCTTATTCATTCGAAGATTATTTATGCGAAACTTTTCTTTCTCTTTTTTGTTCAACTCTTTTATAAAAAGAGCTCGCAATGAAATAAAAACTTTTCTTTCTTAACATAAAATTAAACTTAGAGATAAAATTAAATTAAAAATAAATCAACAATGAGCAAAGCAACTAACTAAAAGCAGATATTAATGAAAATAATCAACATAAACAACATTACCAACAACAATATAATCAAACAAACAACACAATATTGCATAATTTTAGGGGCTTTTTATTTTTATTGCTTAGTCGTTCTAAATGATAAGTAAATTTAGTTCAAGTTAATATTTCAATATTTACATTTGCAATATAATAAAGAAATGATGTTTAATGTTGAACTTTTTATATAGTTATTTATTTTTTACCTACATTTGTTATAAAAAACTTTAGAACGCCCGTCATTAAAATAATTTGTTTTAAATATATTTCGATGTGATTATTCAAACGAATTTTTTCGTTTGACTTCCCGAACTTCATGCAAAGCAAATTGAGACGAAATATTGTCTAACCAAATAAAAATGCTGTTACTAATTTTATACGGGTAGTTAATATAAAACAATTTTTTATCAGAGCCTTGATTGATATAATAAATATTCATAATTTATAAATATTAAATATATGGCGCAATAACAATTTATAGCAACGAACCAGCATAAAATATTTAAGGTTTTTAATATCTTTTTAAATGCTAAAAATAGAAAAAAAAAAACTAAACAAATAATCAAAAAAATTTTGAATAAAAGTATTTCCAGAGTTTCATTTGTTAAGTCTACCTTGACGTCAAATACTAAAACTTTTACAAATTAAATGCGCTTCAAAGGAATTGCTGAAGTCTGTAGATTGCGACATATAACTTAAAGACAGAGTTTTTGAATAAAATGGATAAGGCGAGTTTTGACTAAAATAACAACATTAGTTTTTCTCGGTATGCATTCATTATTTATTTTTAATCAAATCAACTTGGTTCAAACCTTTTTTTTTTAACATTATCTTTAATATGAGCACAACATGTGTTGGAAGTTTGGGATCCCTTTAACCATAACAATTGTAAAAGAAATTATTTTGAAAAAATTCAGGGAATAAGATAGAAAAATAGTTTAAAAACTTAAGTTAAATAGACTGCTTGAACAAACCAAAACCTTCATTCAATGTACAAACACTCCAATCACTATTTAATTCAGCTGATGTCACTTTAAACCTAAAGTAGTACAATTATTAATATAAAATTATGTATAAAGTACTTAAATTATTTATAAAAAGTTACTTCATGGTAACAGCTAAGATAAAAAACCAGGTTGCCAACTTGTATTGCCACTATAATACGTGTACTGAAAGGCAGCTAGCTGGTTGTTAAAGGTGGCTAGCTGGTTGTTAAAGCAAAGAAATTTTAAATCAATTTTTTTTCAAATTCGGTCTTTTTAATTTCACCGCCTGATTTTTATCATTGCTGTTGCAACAAACTAATTTTTTGTTGATAGTTTAAGTTAATACTTAATAAATAATTTTATATTATGTATTTTACTACTTTATATACATTTAAAGTGACACACCACATCGACTGAATTAAATAGAGATTGACACAGTTGTTTATACATTTAATGAAGGATTTGGTTTGGACAGGCAGTCTATTTATTTGATGTTTTTAAAATTTTTTTTAAAGGTTATTGCAATTGTTTTTACAATTTTTATCTTAGATTCTAACTGTTGTTAAATGCTAATAGAAACCAGTTTTTTTGATGCAATCAAACAGCAATTATTTTCAGTTAAGTTATGTAACTAAGGTTATCCGTCTAACGTTTTTTTAGATGTAAAACTAACAGTCTTGCTAACATATATGCTTGTCTTGCTAGGGGTTAGAACTGTAGAAAGTGTCTGACTTATGAAATGGTTACCCAAGTAACCTGTATAAATTTCAACTTTTAAACCATTACGTAAGAACAGTTACAATTTTTTGAAGGGGTTGCCACCATGAAAAGTGGCCTGCTAATAAATGGCATGATTTATAATACTACTACAAAGAAAATTGTAAGAAAATTACGCTTTTTAATATGATGTAATTTAGTTGGTATTTTAAACACCTTTGGTACCTGTTACCAGCCAAAGCCACCATAATCTAAAGTACTTGACTTTCGTTCTTACTTGTGTTAGGAGCACGCACTGGGAATTTTCAGCTTTTATAAAATAATGTTGTTCTGGAGCCCACAGGCTCTCAGACTATAAGAACTGTTTAACTTTTAATTGTATTTTTTAATTTTTTTTATTATGTTAAACAATAGTATGGTTTGAAAAAATATGTATACTTGTTTTAATAGTAATAGTTTTAGTCCCCCCTCTTTCCCCTCTAATTATTGCATATATTTAAATAAAGACTGATAAAAATATCATTGAAGTTTTTTTGTTGTTGATTTAGATGAGACTGAAAACAGTAGATTATAATTTATTAGCTTTTTTTCTTATTAGGTTTAGTCCCAGATGAAGCCGCTCCTGATTCTGATCCAGAGTGGGGATTAAATGTAATGTTTACAAAAAGTGCAAATATCACATATGGACCATGGGTTGATAAACAGAGGTAGTATTTGTGATAAGTATATGTTGAAAATTTAACTATAAGATATTGGTTTAACAACTCATTGCTGCTAGTAATAGTTTATTAACAGTTTTGTTATTAGTTTTTAATCGATTATTTGCATATATTATTCATTATTTATTTATAAATATTATTTGAAGTTTATTTGCATATATTATTCATTCTTTATTTGTATAGTTTCATTGCTTATTTGCATGTATTTTTCATAGTTAATATCAATATATTATTCATAGTTTATTTTGTTATATTGTTCATATATTGTTTATTTACATATATTCATAGTTTATTTGTATATATTAATCATAAAAGATTTTTTATTAAGTTTTTAGTCTTTTTTATTTTTTAAAAAAATGTTTATTTTTCATACCATTGACTGTCAAGTAATACCTTCTTTTGTTTAAAAAACTAATTTTTCAAGAAGTTTAAGCTGATGAACTTGTTAACCTTAAACAATTAAAAAACAATGAATAGACATAACATGAGTCTTGTTTCAAGAAACATAAATTTATTGAATTTTTTAAAATTTTGAAATTTTAATAGAATAGATAAAAATCTGCATAAGAGATAATAATGGATTTTAATTGAAACACACTGCTGACACCAGTGGTTACAGTGTATCAGATTATTATTTGTGCTAAACCATATTCAGTTGATCTTATGAAAAGTAGTATATAAAATAATATATAAAAGATCATGGATACATAAAAACTTAATAATTTTCTGAATTTGTAATTTAAAAATGTTTAAACTTTTATTTTAAGAGATGCACTCCAGAAGTTCTTTTTTCCAAATAACTTTCAAGAACTTGCAGTTACTAAACCAATGGAGTCATTGCAACAGCGTTTGCATACAGGGTTTGATGTCAAAATTGAATTTATTGCCTCAACTACTCTAGATTTGTTGTTCTCTAAAGATAAGGTACTTCTTTAAATCTAAAGAAGAAAGTTTTACAAAATGATTTAAAAAAAGTTTTAAAAAAGTATTTGCTTTTAAAAATACAAAATTGTTATATTTTTAGGAAACATCTGCTGTTCATATTTGCTGCAATAAACCTTCTTCATTGCATTACTATCAGCCATGGGTTGTTAATGAATATGGCTACACTTCTAACTTTATTGCTTTGCTACAAAAAGTTGAAATAACTACTAGTTTACTGTTTCGAAAATTTCTTGAATGTGATCAAATTGAGGTTTGCTGTTTTTTAATATGATTTGTTGAGATGAGCTGTTATCTTTTTTTTAAATTTTGTATGAAAATATAGATTGCTATAAATATGATGGTGCCGAGAATATGGAATCATTTTCAACATTGGTCATGCGAAGTTGGTCTTTCAAAAACAACTTGCTATTTTGTTAGTGAACATCAAAAGTTTTTTAATGGTAAATTTTAAAAGTAATGATTTAGATATAGTAATTTAATATTAATAATATTAATAAATTAGATATAGTAATTTAATCAAATAGTATTTGATTTTTTTTTTTTTACTTTTTATTGAACTTTTTTATAGATCTTGTTAGTGATTGGTCAAGCAACGAGCCTCTAGATATTGCTAAATTTGTTCCATATGATTGGGCTTTTAATTTCAATTTGCGTGATTTTGAAATTATTTTAATGGTCAATGAAAATAACTGGATTGAATGTGCTAATCAGGATGAAAATAGTAATTTCTTTTTTTAATTTCATACAAACATTACAGTCTTTTTACATACAAACATTACAGTCTTTTTACATACAAACATTACAGTCTTTTTACATACAAACATTACAGTCTTTTTACATACAAACATTACAGTCTTTTTACATACAAACATTACAGTCTTTTTATATACAAACATTACAGTTTTTTTACATACAAACATTAGTCTTTTTACATACAAACATTACAGTCTTTTTATATACAAACATTACAGTTTTTTTTACATACAAACATTAGTCTTTTTACATACAAACATTACAGTCTTTTTACATACAAACATTACAGTCTTTTTACATACAAACATTACAGTCTTTTTACATACAAACATTACAGTCTTTTTATATACAAACATTACAGTTTTTTTACATACAAACATTAGTCTTTTTACATACAAACATTACAGTCTTTTTACATACAAACATTACAGTCTTTTTATATCAACTGTAAGAATACTTTTACTCTCATTTACAGAGAGTTTGAAACAGAAAATATTGGTTGTGACAATAATATGAAGTTATTTTAGGGCAAAAACAGGATAATTAGCTATTTCTGTTTATTATTACATTTTAGTCAAAAGTGTAAGGTAAATATTTGGACATTAGCATTTGAGCCATTTAATGCACATGTGCCATTCTTCTTGGAATGTGTCCGTTTATTTTTATACTTAAATTTATTAGAAGAACAATATTTTATTTCTAACTATGTTATAGATGTTCATATATCGATGCATTATACAAATGATCAATTTTGAAAATAAAGTTTAATAATTTTTTTCAACATTTAAGTTATTTTTCTTTGTTATGTTAATTTTTTTAGACGAGCTTGCAATATGTGGAGAAACTCTTGAAATTAATTTTACAATACCAAACACTTCATTTTTGCCTGAAGTTATTGAAATGAACTTTATTTTTCGATTTGAAACTATTATGCTGAGAATGTTTGTGCCTGAGTCAAACACATTACGAAGAAGTGTAGTCTCACTTGCCAAAGTTTATGATAAAAGCGCAAACAAGATACCAAATAGTAAAAGTTTTCAATCTAATGAAGATTTTCATGATTTTGATAGAAACTTTGATGAAGTTGATGGTGTTTGTGTTGAGGATCAACTTAGCCAAGGGTGGAGATGCAGAACAAGGAATGCAGGCTGGATTGATGTGTGGTCATCCCCAGTATTTTTGCTCAACATTGATTACAAATATCATCCAATACCTATAGAAAATGATACTATTAAAAATATAAATCTAAAATGTGGACTCAATTCTGGCAAAGAAAAAAAGCCAAATGAATTGGTTCCTGATATCCTTACAGTTACATTAGAAGGAGGTCCTTCAGCTGCTCGAATTTTTGGGTACTTTTGGAAACAGTTTTTTGTCGGATTTAAGGTTGAATATTTTTATAATTTTGCTATACTAATTATGCTATGCTGTTGTTATGATGTTGTTAAGTTGTTGTTATGATGTTGTTATGTTGTTGTTTTGTTGTTTTTATGTTGTTATGTTGATGTTATATGTTATTATGTTGTTTGTTGCTGTTGTTATGTTTGTTGTTATGTTATTATATGTTGTTTTATTTTGTTGTTATGTTGTTGTTATTTTGTTATTATATGTTATGTTCTTGTTATGTTATTTTTATATTGTTTTATCTTGTTATTATGTGCTGTTGTGTTACTATGATGCTGTTATGTTGTTGTTATTTTATGTTGTTGTTATGTTATACATTACACATTTAGGCTTGGATAGGAATGGTGTGCAATCACACACTTTAACCGACCACGCTAATAATTTTTTTTCTTTGAGTTTTTTAATTTTTATTTTAAAGCTTATATACAGTGGGGTGCAAAAAAAAAAAAACTAACATTTTTTCTTGATTTTAAGTATATAATGTAAACAGAAGCAAAATTTAAAAAAATTGGTAGTGTAAAATCTTGGACAGAAGAGATATGTTTATATATACACTAATATTTATATAAATAAAATCTTTAAAAAACAGATTAATACAAACACATTTAATATTTTAGAAAACAACTAACAGATAAAGAAATTAAATAAATTATTGTAGCTGTTGACCAAGGAGACTCTAACAGAACTATTAGAATACGTTTTAAACGACAAAACTCAACTATTAGTAAATTGGTGAAGAAATATAAACACACTGATACAACTGAAATGATCTGGGAGAAAGCCTAAAACTTCAAAAAAGGAAGATTGCTATATTCCTAATGCCATCAAAAAAGATTGTAAAATTACAAGTTATGAGATAATACTAGGTTTGAACCTTACTAATATCTCAAAATGGACAATATCTCCTCGAATAAAAGCATCAGGTGAGTTGCTGGAAAGCAAATAAAAAAACCCTTTGTTAGTGAAATCAATTGCCAAAAAAGATTAAAATGGTACATTGAGCACAAAGAATGGACATGAGCAATGGGCTAAAGTTATTTGGAGCGATGAGTCTCCTTTTGTGTTGTTTTATAATAGTTGATCTCATTGCTGGAAATTAATTAAGGAAAAGTTCAACCCCCAAACATGCAAGACAACCATTAAACATGACAAAAAAGATTAATGTTTGGGGTTGTCTTAGTGCACATTAGGGTGGTCCATTTTAAACTTTTTTAAAAATTTTAATCGGGGTTTTTACAAGTGATAACACTTGATCTAAAAACGCTAAATACCAAAAATTTTGAATTTAGGATGATTTTTAGATCCCCCACAAAACGTTAGAAGTTATAATAATGGATTGTGCAAGTGTTTATCCTTGCAACATTTTATCCTTGCGCAATATTTAATTATATTTTATAATTATACAAAGTTTGATTAATTTATGACTATTGTACATATACCACAAAAGATTTATTCAAATATCAATAAGGATACAATTAATAACTTTACTGAAATGTTATTTTTTTGTTTGTTGAAAATTTATTTCAATTGATTTCTTTGAGCAATATGTTCCTTTAAAGCTGTTTTGATGCTTTTCCACAACTTGAGCAAGTTTTTCTCTCTCTACTCGATTAAAACATTTGTCCTTGATGTCTCCTATAAGCTTGATACCTCACTCTGCTATATCGTTGACAGGAGAAAGATTGCATTTTTTTGCAGCGTTAAAATCCTCAAAATCCTTTTGTTCCAATGTTCTGATTGAACGTTTAGCTATTCTTAAGGTCTGTTTAATTTTAACAGATGAAAAAGCAACCATGACTTTGCACCAATGAAAGACAATAAAAAAAGTTTCTTTTCATAGCTTCAAATAATTATTGGAGGCTTCGGCTTATAAGGAGTGAATACTTTAGGCCTTGGTAAGTTTATAAGTTTCTGACCCATCATAATCTTTACTGCATAGCTTACAGAGCCGTCGAACAAGGAAAAGACTACTCAGATAAGTATTCTAGGTGTCGTTCAAAAGACTTGATGGTTTCTTCTGCACTTTCAAGGTCGATTGATTTAAATTTCCTCATTAAATAAAAAAATGCAAGTCATTAGCTGGAGCAGTAGTAGTAATAGCAGATTGAAGAAAGTACTTTCCGTAAAAAAGACAAATGCACTTGACCATCCTCTTAAGCTTCTTCATCGTTAAGTTCAAAAGTATGAGGTAGTATGAATATTTTTGTATAATAAATGGCTTTCGACATCCACCTTGCATGATGATCAGAACCGGCATACCAAATGTGGAAACCTCTTTTAATGTGTCCACCAAAAAAAAAATAGTAAGCTCTACTTGTCCACGTTCTCGATAGTCTTCATGAGGAAATGTCTTTCTTTCCAAGCGTTCCATTGCCCATTTCTTTACTTCAAGTGCTTGTTGATATAAAAAACTATTTTGATCATGAGGCCAGTCCCACACTCAAAGTTCTTTTATATTCTTGTTAAAGTTATGAAATTCTTTCTTAAACCTTTCAAACAGCTGAACTCTTGGTGATTTATTTGGACCACAAATAGGATTGGATGTTGCTTTTATAAAGAATTTTGGTATATGATGCCTACATTCAAGTAGGAGTAGAGAACGACCAATTTGCTTCTCAATTAGAATTGTTGCTCTATTATACGCTCCACTGTTTGCAGATGTTGTATCATACACAAGTGCAACAACAGATGCTTTTAATTGTCATTTATCAATTAGGTTCATCACTGAACAACATTGCGTTTGACCAGAAAGTGTAATAACATTTAAAGCTGCTCCGCTTACTGCTAAAAACTTTCCCAAAATAAGTAGCTGTTTTCTTTCACTAATACTGGATCCATCAGCAACTATGCATGTTTCTTTTAATAGTTCTCTTTTTAAAATTTTCAGCATTATCACAGACTTGCAATGATGTGTTTTTTTCTCTTTAACTGAAAATTTTTTATCTCTTTCATCTTCTTCCAAAACATCTGAAGAAAATTTGGCGCCCTCATTGACTTCATTATCATCAGTAATGGTTGAGCAAAATTCAAGATTATTGAGTTGCTGTTTCTTAATATGAAACAATTCCTTTCTTTTCTTTCTTTTGTGATGCTGTATTTTGATGTAACGCATTCGCTCTTTTTCAGCAAGTATTTTGTCTACTCCAGCCATTGAGCTCACTTGAGGAAACTTTCGTTGGTTTTTTAGGAATTCCCAGTCAATAAGCCACTCATTGTTACTAGAATGTTTCAGCAATGTGAAAGAGTCTGTATGTGATATATTAAACAGACTGTCCAATTTCAATGTAAATGATGTAGTCTTTTGCTTTACTTTTCTTTCTTGTCTTCTGCTTTCAGGAATTTTTTTCAGTGTCTCATATTCTTTTACCAAACAGACAATCTGATCAGCACAGTCCTTCCTGTTAGACTTTGTTGAAATGTGAGCAGGTAACCAAAAGTTTTCAATGATAACGCTAACTTAATGATTTGCAATGAGTCTTGTTTCTTTTCTGGGATCATTTCTCTCTCAAAAAGATACTTTTGCAATATAGCTCTATTGAATGGACGCTTTTCTCTTTTAAAGTTTTCTAAGGAAAAACCAACAATCCAATGGTTTAAACTAGAAGAGTGTCTGCTTTTTTTAGCGGCAATATTTTTGTTTATAGCAGTAGCTGGAATATGTATTGAATCTAATAACATTTTTTTCCTGATCTGAGTACTGTCTCTTCTGCTTCAATAGATACATTATTTCCCAAACTTTTACGAGGTCTACCAACCTTCTTTGGTATGGGAGTCATTGCCATGGTTTAATACAAGACTGAAGCTTGTAATATAAACACTGTAAGTAACTATATGTTTAGATATATACTTTGCAATATTAAAATGATATAGAGATGTTCGTTAAAAACATTGTAAACTAAACTTATTAACGTTACAGCATGTTTTTAAGAACTATTATTGCCTTAAGACAAAGTTGACAAAGTTGGGCCTCACAACTCTGAAAACAAGACGTATAAGAGGAGATCTCATTGCTTTCTTCAAATTAACAACTGGGATTGATAAGATATTGTGGTATAAAGAGCCTAATAAAGCTTCTTCCCAGAAACTTCGAGGTCATCCAATGAAATTTGAAAGAGAATTTGCAAAAACAACACTGAGACATAATTTTTTTACGAACAGAGTGGTATTTCATTGGAATGCTTTACCTGAAAAAGCGGTTTCTGCAATGACAGTAAATTCTTTTAAAGCTAGACTAGATAAACATTTGTTAACGGCTGTTAAAGTATGCTCTGCAACAATCGTTGTTACAGCAGTTTGTATTACTATTACTATTACTATTACTATTAAGAGAATTAAGGACTTAAGACGTAATGACTTCCTTAAATACAATTTCACAATATTAAATTTATAATGGAGTGAAAGTATTAAGATTATAATGTTTAAAAAGTATTGGAATAACTGAATTATGTTATGCAACATCTGTGGCGTTTTGAAACAAGTTTCTTGTGGGATAAGCACAATTATTCGTAAATTAATAAATTTTTGTAGAATTACTTCTTAGTGATTAACAAATAAATTGTGTGAACTCCACTAAGAAACAATATCAGTTAGTGGGTAAAAATGTTGCGCAACACTTACTCAATCCATTACTTGAACTTCCAATGATTTGTGGGGGATCTAAAAATCGTTCTAAATTCAAAATTTGGTATTTAGTGTTTTTAGATCAAATGTCATCACTGGTAAAAACCCCGGTTAAAATTTCAAAAAAAAGTTTAAAATAGACCACGCTAGTGCACATACAGTTGGAAAGCTTTACTGGGTGTAGGGCACCATGGACCAGCATTTGTATCACAAAATCTTAGTTTATCAAGTTGGACCAAGTATAGAAAAACTTTTCCTTAATAACGACTACATCTTTCAACAAGATAATAATCCTAAACATATGGCAGAGTTAAATAAAAGATATCTGGAATTGAAATTGATACCAGTCTTGGCCAGCACAGTCTCCTGATTTAAATAGAAAGTTTTTGGTCTATATTTGATAGAAAGTTGCAAGATCATCGGGCAACAAATAAAGATGAACTGTTCCAAATTTTTCTTGTTGGTTGGAATATTTTACCAAATGACTTATTAAAAAAACTTGTAGATAGTATGCCTTCTAGATGCGCAGAAGTCAAAGAATCAAAGGATGACCAATTAAGTACTAATACAGCTAAAACTTGAAAAATACTTTACAAATCCTAATTTCTTTTCATTATATGTAATGAACAATAATATTATATACATTTCTTTAAAAATTGTCTTAACTTTTATTATATGAGCTTAAGACATTTTTTGTTGGTTTTATAATTAAAAAGTGAGTGTGAGTTTTTTTGCACCCCCCCCCCTGTATATATTTTTGTACCCCCCTTTATATATTTTATTTGTAAAGAGTTGTTTACCTTTTTCTTTAATTATTAATTTTTTTTAAGTTTAATTTAATTAATTTTTTTATTTTTTTTATTAGTTTAAGTTTAGCTTAGCATTTCTTTTTTCAGCCGATTTCTAAAATGCCTAAATCGTCGAAACATCTAGACAGTTATGGTCAATTTGTCAACAAAAAAAAATCATTTACATGGTCAGCAATAGCCTTTGATTGCACACCATTCCTGTCCAAGCCTGCACATTATACATTACTTATGTTTTGTTGTTTAAATTTGTGTTAAATGTTTATTTTTTTGATTGAACTTATTTTAAATATTTTATTAATTAGGACAATTACTTTGGGGTTAATCAAAAGTTAGGGGAGTTCAATGCAAATAAAGAGTATAGTGATAATTGTCCATCAAATTTAAGTAAAAAACATAATGATAGTCAACTAGATGCTTCAAATGTGATGCCAGTAGATGCATGTTTTCATCCTTTAGAAGTTAATGTCACTGTTGTTTTGATAGATATTCATGCTGAATTAACAATGGTAAGCCTTATTTACTTTGGTTTTTTCAAAATTTACAAAAAAGTAAAAATTTAACATTATATTAAGTGAGCAGCTTTACTAGTTTTTGATTTATTCCTATTGTTTGCACACTGTGTATTGTTTTAGCATACTGTTAATAAAAAAGAATCTCCACAAGCTTTTACAGACCGAATAACTTTTGAAATTCGTAAAACATATTATGAAACAAAGATGCAGCTAATCATAGCTCCACTGGTTTTAATTGTTCCAGATTCACTCAAGGTTTGTTGATTATTCTACTTTTAATTTACTTTAAGTACTTTAATTAGTATAATTAAAATAATAGTTAGTATATATAAAAATTAGATCCAGAATTTCTTGAGAATACCAAAATTAAACCGAAATTATTATGCGAATTTAGACAAAGGGGTCTATAAATTACTTTTATGGAGAAGGGTGTTTAAAATTGTGCTCCATATGAATGGTCACTTCATTTTTATTATCATGCAATTGTTTTTTATATTTGGATAAATTTATTTGTTTTCAAATAAATTTATCCAAATATAAAAATATAATACTATGGTATCTGGAGTATTCCCACCGAGGTCTACTATGGTATCTGGAGTCTTCTCACCGAGGCCTGCTATGGTATCTGAAGTATTCCCACCGAGGCCTGCTATGGTATCTGGAGCATTTTTGCTGAGGCCTGCTATTGTATCTGAAGTAGATACACCTAATGTCAGTCTATCATTTACAATAGAGATATTTTTCTGTTAAAAAATTTGCCTCACTAATTTAGAGTCAATTTCCAAAACTAATCTTTTGCCTTTCAACTTATCTATGATTTAGTTTCTAATAAAATCACCCTTTTGTCTGATTTCAGGTATAAGTAGTACCTGGTATACCTAAAATAGTTATATTATGAGAGTTTAATTCTTGAATTACATAAATTAAAGTTAAAGAAAAATAAGTTTACACAATTAAGTTTTCAAATGTAATATTAAAAAGTATTAGAACCTTGAGCTCTTTCTAATGGTAGACCATTCTATCTGTTTCTATCTGGTATTGATTACTTTATCAATAGTATTGATACCATTGATGCCGTATTTCAAGAGACACATTCTCTTTGGACTGGTAGTTCAAAAATAATTATTTATTTAAACTTTTTTAAATTTAGTCAATGTTTTATTTATATGGAAAAATAAAACTAGTCAATGTTTATACAATGCAAAATTTATTGGGCAGTAAATTTGGACAGTGAATTATGCAGTAAAATAGAATTGGGCAGTGACTTATTGTGTTATGTTCAAATAGGAAGTGACCGAGGCCCTAACCTTGGCCCCAGCCAAATATGAGGTTTTTTACAAACCCTGCATTAACTAAAAAATAATTTTAGTATGGGTTATTAGCCGGGGTTAGGATATTTTATATATATTAGGGCTCAATTTACCGGTCGGATATTGCTACCCCTCGGACTATTTTTGAGACCTGCTAGAGTAGGGCAACAAACCAATGTTGTTGTTTTTTTGTGGTAAAAATGAACAAATGTTGGTTGCCCCCATAAATCAGTTCTCAAAAACAATATAAAGTAATAAATTTAAGTGTACTTAAGTTTTTAATTTAAATTGTCAAAATTAGCTGACAGCTGGTTTTTATCATACTTAACTTAGCAAGTATAAAAATATACACACCTATACTTTCTTCTTTCTAAAAAACAATATATATATATATATATATATATATATATATATATATATATATATATATATATATATATATATATATATATATATATATATATATATATAAACACACAGATATATATTTATAATTATTTGCATTGTTTTTAGCGCCATATTGACAGTGCTCACTTATCAACAGGTTTTTTTCGGTTATCTGGTTTTCAATTTCGTGGACATGCTATGTTTTCTGACAGAGGAATTCCTATTGTCAGTGAGACTGTAGAGTATAGTTGGTTAACTGAAATACAATGTGGTAACTTTACTGGAAAAGTGACACCTTCTCAGGTTTTTATCTTAACAATATGAACTATAACTTTTTTGAGATATTATTTTGCTAATTAGCTCTTTAGAATAAGTTTCAAAAAAAAAAAAAGTAAAAATTTTAAATGTAAACTGGACTAATTTAAAATTGCTTTACTAATATATATATTTTGTTATAACTTATATAACTTAGCTCCAATCTTTGACTTTATGGGCTGAAACATTTGTTTTGCATTTTATTGATGCAGAAAATCGATTTAGACTGCAAAATAACCTTAATGACAGTTTAGCAGATAGTACAAATGTATCATTGAACTCAATAGAAGATCTTAAGTACAAAATGTTTAGATTTTCACTAGAAAGTATTAATGTGTTTTTGGTAGAAACAGAATGTGCTTGCAATATTCTTGTAAGTTGTTTTTTTATGTTATTGTTTATTGAGCTACTATTTTTTTTAATTTTGTTTTATTTGAAAACATTTTTTATTAAATGAAAATGTTATGTTGTTATCTGCAGGTGGCACCAGTGCGTTTTGCTGTTTGTAACGCCAGTGGAGAACAATGCTGTGAAGGTGGAAGCTTATTTATTAATGAGGCAACTCTACATTTTTACCTGCAACAAGTAAATTCTGAATATTCAGCAGATAAATTAAGTAAATCCACATCAAATAATTGGGTGGAAGTAGGTATAATTACATCAGGTGCATTTACTGCTGACATAAGAGATTTGTGTGAGAGTGCTAATCAAACTTTTAAACAGTATCGCCACCTTACGTTTCATGATGAAAAAAGCAAAAGAATTTGGTTTCTTTGGGATTCTAATGAACTAAAAAGTAAGTTGTCTGTAGATCGTATGAAAAATAAAAAGTGTGGTTGTATTGGAGGTTGTGATTTCTTTGGTAAAAATGTTAATGGTGTTAGGTTCTTTACAACACAAGTATTGGATGCTACTACTGACTCAACTAATCATTATGGTAGTGGAAGTTTATGGGGTAGCCAACCCACAACAGGTGAAAAAGTAAAAGAATATCTACGAAAGCTTAGTGGGTTTGTTCCTAAAAATATTCTCAACTCAGAAGACAGTTCAGTTGAAAACTTAAAAAGAAACTCAGAAATATTTTCTGAGCCAGATGGTATGTTGACTTTTTTATTAAAATTTTTTTTACTAGTTATCTGTAGAAATTGAATTTTTTTAAGCTGACTTTTATAATTTGCATTTAATTTTAAAATAATGTTTTTAAAAAAAGCATTGTTATCAAAATGTATTCCAAAATGACCTTGTTATAAATATGCATGTAAATATAACCTTGTTTTGATTGCACATGCACAATTATGAATCTCAGGGTAAATGCTTTTATAAGTTGATAATAAAGTTTTGTTGAATAAAACTTTATTTGTAAGCTAAATTTATGTTTATTAATTAGGTGAAATTAGAAGAGAATCTGTTCCTTTTACATTTTTGAATAAACTCTTAAATAGATCAAAAGGATCAAAAATGAACTTTAAAAGATCAGCATCTGTTATAGCAAGTCAACCTTCTTTACTGAGAAGATTTGGAAGCACTGAAGGTTCTTTTTATTCGTGTGCATCAGAAAGTAATATTGCTGGAAAAATCAGGTAAAGATGTTTACTGCTACAAAATAATTTTTTTTTTTCTTTGTTTGAAAAAATACATTTTTGTTTTACAAAAATGAACTTTAAAAGATCTTTGCATTTATATATGTATTTATAAATACATACATACATACATCACGGCTGTTTCAAACCGAGCTTAACGGCTTCTTGTTAATTTTTGAAAATATTGACTAAAGGGGTGTTACTAAAACTTTTATAACTTTTGAAATATAAGAGGTAATTTTGTTTTGTAAAAACAATTAAGATATCAATAAAATGTTTTACCTTATAACATTTAATGCATTAGTAGAAAAACTTCTTTTAGTTTAGAATAAATATGACATATATTGAATTTGGCTAAATTTTTGTAATTTGATGTTACTTTTTATCAAAAAAAAATTAGAAAAATATATTCCTAATAGTTATTATCAAATACACTTATTGTTTGACAATAATGAAAACAAAAAAACCTTACTTAATTATTTAAGGTTAACTAAAACAGCCTTAATCGAATTGTGAAAGCAAACCACATTTTTCGCAAAATTATGAAAAACGTTGTTATAAGGGGGGATTAGTTGTTAAATGAGTACTTTTTTTAATATAGAAGTTCTTGATTTAGAAAATTATTTTGGAACGCTGATAAAATCATTACATTACAAAATAAAGTTCTAATAATATGGTGTTAGGTAGTTAATAAATAAAAACTCATCAATTCTAATAAAATAATTCATGACCAAAATTGAGTTAAAGGTTTTGAATTAACCTAGCTTTTGGTAGTAGAATTATTTTATGGTACTTGTATCAATAATCTCTTCTCACAAAAAATAAAGTGTTTAAATATACACAAATAGCTGATTTAAATCTTTTGATAATTCGTTTTTATTTTCATTAAAAACTGTTTTATAATTAGTTGGTCCATTGATAAGTTCTTCAAGCAGTAAACTATCTTTGAACACCCAGATGATACTAGACTCATACATAATTCATTTAAAACCAGAAGAACATTTGGTCAACTTGGCAATTGTGATAATAAAGTTTACAACTTCTTAATTTATCAAGCTAAATTTTTACACCAACTTGATAAATGAGACTTATATTCCATTCTTTAACTAGAGAGGAGGTATGTAGAGCAGAGGTCCTGCGAAGGTAGAACTAACTTTTGATGATAAAAATTGAATGGAGATCTAATATATATAAAAAATGTTACATATTACATAACAAAGGATAAAACGTTTTTTGATTTAACTACATAAACATACAAAATCATATCCAACAAACATACCAGTTGCTCTGATCACAAATTAAAATAGTTAGCTATACATTTGATGCTAGACTTTTATTCCATTCTTTAACCTGAGCAAAGGCATTGCATAGATATAATAAACTTTTGAAAATAGGAACAGAATGGGCATCTACCTAATATATAAAATCATTGTAATAAAAAATTATTATTATTTTGAACAAACATTACAGGCATTAAAACAGAATAGAATTCTTTTATTTGTAAATTAAGGATCTTATATAATTTATCTTAGATGTAAAAAGTTTAATTTTTTTTTTAACTTTTCAAACATTTAAACTAAATTTGATGACCACAAACAAGACAAAGACCTTGTCTATAAAATGAATTTTCGCCACGCTCTGAACACACAACACACTTTCTCACCTTAGAGGCTTGAAGCTTCCTATCAGCTTTGCTGTGCAATTCAAAGCGTTTTAAAACAAGATGCAGCTTTTGCTCCTGATTTCTAACTGAATGCAACTGCCTTAATTCCTTATTTACGCTATTATGCAAACACTCTCCCTCCTCTTCACTCAGCAACCCAATAGTTTTATGCAATTTTACAAATAGTGGCACATTGAAAATGAGTTCATGCATTTTTCGCGTGATACTTTCTTTTGGAAAGCAAGCATGAAACTCAATAGCAAATAAATTTATATATTGATGAAGCTCAGAAATTTCGGCATCAGAAAGAAATTTTCGCTTAAAAAGAATAGGTTGCAAGTTATTAAAAACACTAAACACACGTACAAATCTATTTTTAATTGCTTCATCATCAATAACACTACAAAGTTTATAGTGGTTTCTTAATACTATTTTACAATGATTACCTACAAATACATTACCATGGTAAGCTTGTCGCTCAACTTTCATATCTTCAAGGGCCTTATAAAGAGACCTCTCATGAGTCCCCATGCTACTTATAGATATTTTTTCTAGGTCTTCACACTCTATCTGCAATCGAATATACTCAACGTCTAAAACTTCGCGCTGTGCGCGTATAAAAGAAATTTTTTCAGAAATATAAAGGTCAAGACATTCTAAATCTTCACCCTGACATGCTAAACACTCATACTTCTCTATATCACACAATACATTCTTTTCCGAACCACCAATAATTTCACAAAATTGATGGAACAATTTTTGGCACGTACCACACTGCACCCAATCAATGTTACAATCATATTTAGTAATTAAACACCTGATACTAGCACACTTTTCTTGCTGTTTACAGGTTTTTTTTTTATTGGAGGAGTTTAGAGATATGCATTCCAATTCAGAAATATTTTTATCAAAAGCTAACCAACGAGTCTGTAGATTTGCAACGTCTACAAATTGATTTCCTAATAAACGTAAAGAGTCTGCTGTTTTAGAACATTCAAAGCTTTTAGCAGCCCACAATTCATTCGTTCTCACATTCTCATTATGCGACAAAGACGAAACAGCTTGACAATCCAAAGTCTTACACTCCTTCAACAATAACTTATAAAGTTTTAACACAACTCCTAACATAATATGCAAAACAGGTGGCACTACATTATCTAAAGTTATTATGGGGAAAATCACAGGAGCAATAATTGAATTATGAAACTTATCTAGAGCTCTTAGGTTTCCACCTTGTCTATCTTCACACAAGTTCTCATTGTAAGCACTTTCCAGAGATTGTATTGTCCTCCTTAAGATGTTACAATTAGCAGGTGTGTGAGGCATAGAAGCATGGTTTCTTAGAGAATTCAACTTAACTAGGTCTGTAGAACTAGGAAAGCTAGCAGCTGAACCCTGGTGTCCCAGAACATCATCGATAAAATGAAAATCTCCACCTAAGAACAACCTGACTATTTTGCCTTTTAGCTTAAAATCTGACGACTGAATTCTTTTAATGTCGTTGGCATAATGCCCGAGAACTAAGGCAATATTCTCACGACAGTCTGAACCCTGATACATACAAAATAAATGAACATCATATACAGACCCTGATGATTTAGAATTGACAACTTCAAAATGGAATTTCATATACTTCCCACCCTTATCCCCAGCAAAAAGGAGCCATACCTCTTCGCAAAAACCGACATCAGAATTGAAGTGGTCACGAACGTGCAGACTATTGAAAACCTCTTCAATATAAGTTATCAAATTCTTGACCATCAATACAGGTACTAAACAAGGTGCTTCATTCGCAGATGGATAAAGCAACATGGACTTTACAGTAACATGTTCTTTACTAACATGCATTGTCCGCATTTCTTGTTCTTGTCTTATCTTGGGCTCAGATGGGAGAATCCTTGCACCAAGATTACACAGAATACGTCTTAGCCTACGGAATTCAGCCGTGGGCATCCTTAATTGGCTCTGCAGCTCTACAGCATCAGAAACACTTAACTGCCTAACTAAACCCAACTTATTTGCAACACAATGAAACATAGACTTTTCACAAGACACAGAATCACAAAACAACATAGACAAATCACTTTCCAAATCTGAACAAGCTAATAATCGAAGGAATATAAAAGCAAGTTTAGATCGTCTAGCTGCAGCATGCCTACCTAACTTAGAATAAGATTTAAGAATAAGATCTCCTAACTTAATGTAAGTATATTTCTTACCAACTATTGGCTTTTTAACTGATATAGTCTGTGGATTACTTAATTTAAACCCACAGAATAATTCAGAGGAACCAATGTTGTCATAGTCTAAATAAGAATCAACGACAACTAAATCCTTATCACTGCTAGCAAAATATTTGCAAATTTGGCAACTGTTCTTGTTTATATCACTGATTTTTGCATTTTTTTTTTCAAATTTAAATTTTTTTAGCAATCTTACATTTTTGGCACGAGCAGATGCAAATTTACGGTGTGCTGTTTTTAATTTTTTTTTTTTTTTAAAGTTGGAACTGCTCCTCCTGTTTTAGCCTAATACTCATAGTCTCTAATTGAGAACTTAATGAGTTACAATGTGCGTTGAGAGCCTTGTTTTTAGAATTTAAATATATAACTTCAGTTTCCAACTTTGATACCTGTATTTTTAAATTATCTATTTGCTCCACATTATTTTTTTCTTTAGAAATTAATTGTTCAACTTGACTACTTAGTTCTTTATTCCTATTTAAAATATAAAAATTATCTGCATCTGCTGATTTTTTTTGTTTTTTTGTTTGTGGAGCTGGAGACAGTTGCATTTTAAAAAATGCTTTGTTTTTTGAAGCTTCAAAATACTTTTTAGAATCTTTTTTTCTTTGTTTTATTTTTCGGCACATTTTATTTAACACATCAATATTAGGCATATTAAACTCAATTGGCAAAAGAAAACTTAAAAAAGTAAACAACGCTTTTGGATGAAAAACTGTTAATAAAATTGAAATCACATTGTTAGTAATCTTACTAGTGTCAATTACTCGCTTTACAAAATTAAAGTTATACTCATTTTCCCAACCATCTTCCCAACCGATGTACAGTTTCAAAATTTCCCTCTCAGTTGCATACATCACATAAATAATGATAATGATATTATAATAATAATATAATAAAAGAAATTAAATAAAATAATATTTACAAATAAATACACTAAAAATAAAAGAATTAAGCAACTTATCTGAGATTAGTCGAATATCCACGAGGAAATAATCCACGAAACTTTGCTTTATAATCTTTATTGATATAGTAATAAAATTATAATACAAACAACTTAAATAGAATAATATTGACAAATAGATGCACTAGAT